ATTTCTTAAGGGGTGACACTTTAAGTCAGAGAGACATAGGGTGTCAAAATCAGAAGCACTCTGAATGATCCGCTAATATCCCACAGGAGAAGTGACTTCCCAAGGCCATGTAGTAAGGTGGTAACAGCCTAGATCCTAGGTCTTCTCACTTCAAATCCATCCCTTTCCTACCATGCCATGGTTCATTAGCATGTTCATGGGGGTTAGTTTAACAGACTGCTTTCCAAATAAGAAGGAAACAGCAGGTCAGGGCCAGGTTGGCTCTGATGTAGGAGGTGGTAAAAGGAAGGTTGAACAAGGAGAGCACACCTTGGTATGGGGCCATATGGGGAGTTCTGGACAGTTAGGGCTGTGGGCATGGATGTTATGGGGGGAGCCAAAGGGCAACTAGCTGTGTGATCTTGGGCAAATCACTTAACCTCTGAGTCTCAGTTTCCTATCTACGGTGATAACCACAGGGACTGGAGGTGAGGCACTGTGAAAGGTTCTTTACACATGCTATGATCTTCATAGCAACTCTGTGGGGATCCCTCATTTTTAGAGATGAGAAACATTTAAGTGTAGAGAGGATGTTGTTTTAACTTGGACTGTCATAGCAAAATACAATAGGCTGGGTGGCTTAAACAGCAAATATTTATTTCTCACAGTTCTGGAGGCTGGAAGCACAAGATCAGGATGCGAGTATGGTTGGGTTCTGGTGAGGTCCCTCTTCCTGGTTTGCAAGGAGCTACCTTCTCGCTGTATCTTCACATGATAGAGAGATCATCTCTCTTGTGTCTCTTCTTCTAAGGGCACTAATCTCATCAGGAAGCCTCCACCCTCATGACCTAATTACCTCTCAAGGGCCCCACCTCCAAATACCATCACATCGGGGACCAGGGCTTCCACTTATGAATGTTGTAGGGTCACAAAACATTCAATCCATAGCAGATGATAACTTGTCCAAGAGTATGTAGCAGATAGTGGCAGAGCTTGGACTTGAACCCAGGTTAGTCAGACCTCAGGGCCAAGGCTCATTTCCCTGAGTCCATAATAGCTTGTTCAGTAAAAAGGCAAGGCCAGTGACCTTCAAGATCCATCACGCTCTAAAATTCAGTACTATAATTCTGCTGAATCCCTAAATCCTGATTGGGTCAGCTACTTTCTCTGAATATTGTTTATATCTTTCAAATAATGCTAGCCATCTGAGGTAACGATATCTGTTCTGTACAAAACTTAACACATTTCAGACCCTTGACAAAGATTAAAGAGGAGGCCAGACAAGTGGCATCTCTGGTTTTCAGGGAATAATGCACGTTCCATCTCTGAGGGTCACTTCATTCCTACTCTGAATCTAAGCACTCACTTAGAGCCATAATGGCGGGAGGAATTTATTCGTTTTCACACAACAGAATTGCCAAAGCTAATTACTAACAGATATGTGTGAGTGTTCGAGAAAGGGAACATCAGCTTATGGATTCAAAAGCAATTTAGTGTGTCTTTCTAGGCAAATCCTTCTCTAAAAATGATATCCATTTGGATTATCCCAAATACTTGATTATTTACCACCAGGAGATCTTGGTCATATCTCATTTAGGGATCCTCAGCTATGGTTTAATCCTACATCCGCATGCTGTCCACATGTGTGAAAAGAACATTTCTCATAAAGACATTCAGCTTAGAAATACACACCCCTTTTTCCTAGAGTTCTTCTTTGTGGCAGTTATTTCTGAAGTTCAGGAGCTAATACCGGGCCTATCATTTTTGCTTCACCCCTGTGACTTACTGACATATGTAATCATCATCCTGCCTTCCTGTTTGTTTTAAATTTAGAATTTTTCCTCAATAACGGCTCCAGAAACTCTCAAAATTACCTAATTAGTAATAACACTTTGCAAATGATAAAGAGCATTTCCCAGCTAGTTGATTCAGTTAGTTAGAGCAGGATGCTAATAATTAGGCCATGGCCACGGGTTTGGCCTCTGGCGAAGGTGTGACCAGGGTCTCAGGAAGGACCAGGAGACAATGTGGATGGCAGAACAGAGAGCCATTCCCACTAGAAGGAAAACAATATTGCTATTGGGGCAGTAACATCACATTGGGAGGACAGCATACCTTAAACAAAACAAAACAAAACAAAAACAAAAACAAAAGTAGGAAGGGAGGGAAAGAGGCAGGAAGGAAAGAATAGAAGGAAGGAATAGAAAGAAGGAAGGTAGAAGGAGGGAAAGATGGCAGGCAATTATTTAACTGTAGACAAGTTCATGGAGATAAATAGAAAAGAAAGAGTAACAGAAGGAACTGGAATCTGAAGCATGGCATGACCTTTAATCAGGGCTCTTATTCCTAGCAGGCTGTGAAGCAGCTTTGTCTTTACCTGCTCAATGGATCCCACAATGCTGATGCACTGCTTTAATTTGGGAAGGCTTTCTCTTGAGAGACATGTCTTTTCCAGCTCTAAGTATGAAGTGCTCCCAAGTGTGGCATTCTCTGTGACAGATGTACTACAATGATGCTTTAGCTGACTCCAAACCCATAGCTTCCCCGTGCCTGAGTGGTCTATTTGATGTCCAAGAGTGTGTTTCCTTTGAGAACATGTCTTTACCAGAATATCATCCAAGAAGGTAGGGAGGTATAATCCCTTTGTTCTAAAACAGCCATGGTTAAACTCTGGAACCCCATCCCCATGCCAGGGCTATTCTTTCCAAAGGTCTGAAAGGCATTTGCTGCTGTACATGGATGCCTTAGGCCTATGCCTTTGGAAGGTACTGCCTGAGAGTGACCTGAGAGGCCTCTCCTTTCAAAATCTTCTCCCAAGGTCGCTCCATTTTCACTGATGGCCCCAATTTCACTGGAGTCTCTGTAAAGAGAAGGAATTTCAAAATAATTTTCATAGCTCCAACGAAACCAGATTGCCCGGCAAACCTCCTGTCCGGGGATGCACTTTTTCGAGAAGTCTCAGAGTCTTGTCAACAGGGTCCAACATGTGACTGGCGGGACCAGCCAGCTGCAGACATGTCCATTGGTGTTGACTATACATGTCTGTTCCTCACTCAGGAAGCCTGGTCATTCTTCTCTGAATTCTAACCTTCCCACCATCAGACTCCATTCTTGAAGGGAGGCAGAAATGCGACCACGGGCCATTTCTGTTGGGACAAGTGCCACTTGTCTTCCATCCATTGTGGCTCCTCCCACCAGCACTGATGTCTGCTACAGGACACATTACTTCTCCAACTCTCTCTTGCCCATCCAAGACGAAGGAATTCGTCTTCATCCACCAGACAGTTTGTATCCTTACTTGGTGCGTTAAGATCAGAAAGGGTGAGAGTCTTGGCAAGAAGTCTTTTCCCATCATTCCTATGCCTATAACAACTCTTAAGAGTAGACAAAAGCTTACTGCTGTTGAAAGTCAGCCTCTAAAATTCAAGGAAATTCCCCCTCTTGGACTTAACACTTGCTTTTTTGCATTTTTACTTGAGATGACAGTCTAACTATTCCACTGCCTGGAACCTGAGGAAAGAAAAAGAATTTGATGGTTTTCTTTTCTTTATTAAAAAAAAAAAATGTGTTTGCTTATTGTCCTTTAATTGTAAATCATCTCTCAGCTTACTTTTCTTTTAGATAGCTTTCTGCCTTGAATTTGTTAATAAATGTCAGTTAATACTTGTTTAGTAAAGACAAACCATGAACAATCTAACAGTAATACTCAATACAGTACTGTGGCACAGTAGTTATTGATTAATTACTTGGGTCTTTTTCTTTGAGTTCTCTGAAAACTCTTCAAAATGCAGAGAGCAATATAATCCTGCAGTTTGGTAAAGATGGGCTTATACATCTGTAAATGCTGACATGCTGAACACAATCTGTTCCTTAAATCCCTAAGCAAGAAGCAATCAGTACAGTAAGCTGATACCTGGCTTACAGAGGAGAAGGCAGGGTGTGAAATAGCTATGCCCTCCCCCTGCCCCAGGCCATTAAGAACATTTAGACCATGGGGCAGATGTTTATTTTTCTAGTGCAACAGGTTTCAATGATGAAATGTAGTGATTTCAGACCAGACACAGACACAACACAATTTCCTTTTCTTTCTTTTTTTTTAAGGGATATGTATGATATATATTGCTGTTGTCATCCAAACCTCTTCTGATTTTATTTTTAAATCACATTTATTCCATTTTTTTTCATGCAGAAAAGTATAAGGAAGAAAACTATCCATCATCCCATTCTTAGAGAACCTTCTTGACATTTAAAAATAAATGTGATATGTTTATATGTCTTAAAATTTCGATCAGTATGGAGAGAAGCAAAATGAAAAAGCCAATGCTTCTTTAGTTTTATTCATTATGAGACTTCAGATTCTCTCTGTCTGGGGACAAGTCCAGGTATGTCCCCTAAGAAGATACCAGATTTAAAAATAAAAGAACATATGTCAAGAGAAACGTAGAGAGTGGCAAGGGTGATCACACATAGCATAACGCTCCTTGTAAAAATCACTCTTGGATATTAACAGAAAGTGGCAGAAGAATTGGAAATGCTGGAAACTGATGGCCTGTTAGAAAGTCAGGAGAAATGGGACAGCTTTGATGAGCATATTTGAAGTTATTGTACAGACTGCAAAGAAAAATTTCACCCTGTTTTTCAGGACTGGTGAATAACTTACAAATGAATGAGAAGGCAGTGACATGCTTCCATTCATACATGTGTAAAAAGTAGATCACAGAGATTATGGGGTCAGCTGACCATATCAGAGTAAACTTTTATATGATCAGTTCCTTGAGTGATTTTATAACACTTTTATTAAAAAGATAATAGCTTTGAGTGATCTCTAAGATATTCTTCTGGTGATGAGTTTCATGATATATACTAGCCAGACTTTCCAATTATGCCGTGTATGTAAGTCAAAACTGGGATCCACATCTTCCCAGCATTGATAAGTGACAATGTGATAGTGCGTGTCTTGACCACTCATTTAAAATAGATTGCAATCCTATTTCATCTCTTGTGACACTTTCCTTTCACAGATCATGAAAGTCACAACACCTTCAAGAATTGTGAAATCACCATGGGATTTTGATTTTTTTATTTATAATGGTGTCATAGACAAGACAGCCCCAGACTTCTTAGCATTCAAGGAACATTTTAATTTATCTTGGGGAAGTATTTTTTCCCTCTTGGAACACATCGAGAAGTTTATCAGGGACTATGCAATACCAGAAGTTAAAATAAAAGGGAACAATTTGGTAGCCTTCCTTCCGGAGTTTGAGCTGAAGAATAAACTTACCAGATACGACTTTCTCTCACTGTTAGAGAACCCACTTCGTATCCAGATGATGTTAAATCTTCCAGGGCAAAGGTACAAGGGCCAAGATGGAAGGTCAGAGGCTGCCAACAAGATCCAAGCCACATGGAAATGCTTCAAGGCAAGAAAATTCTTCCTCATCTATCGCCAGCAGAAGTGGGCATCGGGTGTGATTTCCATTGCGTGGCTCTTACATTGCCATAAGACCCGAGTGAAGAAGATCCTGAAGGAATCACGTGAGAGACACCTGGAGAATTTCCGTATCCGAGCCAAGGTACACAAGGCTACCAGCTGTTAAGGCAGACCTCTTTTTCTAGACATTTCTTGCTTGAGTGATTGCAGTAAGTTGTCTCTTTATCTTCCCTTTCTCTCTCCAACTACCCTCCTCGTCAGCCTCACTCGCCTTCCGCTCTTCGTGTATGATGCACAAACCCTACATGTGTTTGTACATCATATTTTAGCCCTAATCAGGAATCTGGCTTTTGCACCTGTAAAATCTATTGCAATTTTTTTCTATAGAAAAAAAATTTTTTTCTAGAAAAAAAAAAGTCCCTTCACTTTGACTATTGTCGTTCTGTCAGAAGATCAATGTTTTAACTGCACTACCTTTTCTCCCTATATATACCTTCTGGCACTTTAATTTGCTAGGAAAAAAAAATCTTCTCTCGTCTACATTGCTGTCACCACTTTGTCAGAAAGTATTTAAGTTTGCAGACAGCCTTTTAATTAGTGCTCACAATTTCATTTATGTTTGCTTTCTCTTTTTTTCATTCATATTCTGTTAATTAAGTGAGCTGCCTCTAATCTTCCCCTGCCAGTAGCATCATGTAGCCACCTAATTAAATTAATTGGGGAAGATGTTTTAAGTATGTAATTAAATCAATTAATATAATTTATGCCTGGCTTAACTGTACAGTGGAAAAACAGCTGAAGTTTGACTAGATGAATCCACTACAGCTTCCTGTCACTGATCAATGCTCTTCTTGATTTTTAGCATCTGGCAGCCAACTGGAATCGCATCAGGACCTCCAGGAGGACTATTATCCATATCCCATCATTAGGTATAACACTTTTGCCTGCAAATCTATCAGCAACCTCTATTACCCACCACATTATGGCTCCTTGATTGAGTTCAAGGAAGGCCCCTTGTTTTATTCAAATTGGTCTCGGCAGGAAAATGTTCTCGACATGATGAGAGTAATAACACAGGGCCCTCGCTCGAAACGGCGTTTAATTTGGGGATTAAGCAAATAAAGTCATTATGTGGGGGCTGCTATTCAGTGGAGAGGTGATTTGCTGTAATTCGCTTTCATCTGTATGAAATGAACTAAAAAGTTGTATTTTTCCCCCTGAAATAACAGATAATGTTTTCGATCTTCTTTAATGATAGAAGAACACAGGCTTGCGTGTGTTGTTGCTGTTACACCAATAAGCCAGGATATTGCTTGTACACTGTTTTTAATCAAATGTGCAGTCAAAATGATAAGCTACATTCTCTGAAATTATTTAGTTCTAATTACGAGCAGATGGGATGCTTTATTTGCACCTAGGGCGCCTGAGCAAAAAGAAATGCTGTGTGAACAAGAATAATTAAGAAGTTGAATAGTGTTTTTTGTGCTTAAATAATCTGCAGTTTCATGTTAATTAGCACTAATGTAATTATTTAATTACATTTATGAATTGGGGAACTTAAAAGCTGTTGTCTGCAACACAGTAGTAAAATAGGTATGCCAAAATGACATTGGGAATCTCAGAAGTCTGCACTGGAAGTTCCTTTAAAATACGAGCTGCTGTCAAAATGTGTGGGTTTGTTTGCTTGCTTATTAGTTTTGTTTTGTTTTGCTTTTTAATCTACCTAGTATGCTAAAAATTTCCTTGGTGAGACCAAATTTCTCAAGCTGACTTGGTATCAAATCTTCATATTACATATTGGCTCTTTGTTAAGGCCTTTTAAGTAGAGCGATGCATTAAGTGATCTATAGTAATAGAATTCTAGATTGCAATTTATTTGTGCCCCTCTGTGAGTATATGTGTGTGTGTACTTAGGCATAGTATAGAGCATAACACATTTAAACAGTAATATGAAAAAAAATAAACACTAAAATTATTATATATTATCTTTTAAATTAGTAAAACATTAGTAGTAATAAATTAATGCAAACTTTCCTAGAATCTAGAGCGCTTACAGAAAAGTTAAGAAAATATGTTAGAGCTGCATAGAGCCTTTTAGTTTGGGTCTTTTTATGGCTCACAGAAGAAATTAATTCCTTCTTAGGATGTAAGTGAGGTAAGACAGATCTGAATTTCATTCCAAGTTGGGTTTTGTTTTGGTGGGACTAGTTTTGCACACAAAATTAGTTCACACTCAGAAATTGCACTTGTAATTGATTACCACCAGAGAGGCTAATTGCAGACACAATTAACAGACCCGAGTCCCTTGGACTAAGGTGCAAGAGCCTTTTGCTTCTGCAACTAATTGTGGCCCTGACCTGGTATTATGTGGGAAATTTTGTTTTGTGTTCTCTATTTTATTCAAAACTAGAAATAGGACAAGACCCCCACTTTGCAATGTTGACAGCATGAAGGTATCACAGGCACAATTTCCACAAACTCCTTCCTTCCACCTGTCACCCTTCAAAACCCCAGTGCAGTCAGCCATGCAGAAAAGTCTGATAGAAAAGAGCCTTTGTCCAAAGAGGTAATATTTTGAAAATAACGGGCAGTAATCTAAAGTGGGTAATAAAGAATAATTTTAAATGAAAATGTTTTAAAATTCCAAAAGGGTTTGCTGGATATAGATTAGGTAGAAAAATAACCTGGTCAAAAACTAGAATTGCATTATTTTAGATCTGATATTAAAACTAGTTTTCTTCTAGAATACATATTCTCAGCTTAAATAAACACATAATAAATCTGAAAGTCTTCCCTATTGTAGTAATTTTTGTTTAACAACGTAATAATCCATTTTAAAGAATAATTGCTAATCATATATCTTCCAAGAGATAAGACTAAGCATATATATTTTTCTCAACTGACCATTTAAAAAGCCCAATTACACATTTTCACAAGAGAATAATACATGGGCTCTGATCAAATAGTATTTGTTTCTATAACCTATGCTTTAGGTTTTATAAAATAACCTGTGGCTATTAAATTAAATTTAGGTTTAAATAACGTTAACCTGTCACCTCATACTTATTCCACAGACATAATTCTCAAACCATAGCTTTCTTTAAAAAATGATTATGGTATACCTTTTTTGTGTGCACCACTTTCCCTGTGAATTCTTGAAGATTTTAGCTAGTCACAACATGCCTACTTTGTCTCCTGCACTAGGGACAATTCATGAAAACAAAAGTAGATAAAAGTAAAGCCCTTTTTTCCTCTAAACACATGTCCCCCAAAACCTATTCAATATAGTAATTTTGTTTTCAGAGTTGAGAGGGATTCACTAATCAAAATCAGTTGGTAGACATGTAAGGTTCAGGTAGGCATTTAATACAAATCACAGCCTTGTCCTTTTTCTCTTTCTACAGGAGATTTGCAATCAATTCTGGTGTAAAATTAGCCCTAGAAATAATTACACCATGTCACTAGCCAATTAGGGCTGCACTAACTTGTTTGAACCCTAAAAATGAAAGATTAGTAGCTGATAACTGTACAGTATATTGCAGTTATAGGCATTTGGTTATTTGTTTATGCAGTTTTGCACACACAAGAATAATTGCATTCTCCAAACTGATGATCACATAGAGGACCACAGTAATGTTTTCAGTAATGCCTTTGACCACAAAATATTTATCATGTTCAAGTTATGGCTTGATAATATGAACATTAAGACAATTACACATTGCAGGGTAACCTCTTTGAAAGGATTAAAACTTGATTGACTGTTACGTATTTTGGGTAGTATTCCTAGATGTAACAAAGTTTTAGCTCTTTTTAACAAACAGGAGAGGTGGGATGCTGTTGATTCATTGTCCAAAGAAACTGATCAGCCTTGTAATTTCATAAGATGATAGAAAAAAACCTCATCCTTTTCAGAGTATATAGGCTAATCTCTTTATTGGATATTAGATGTTTTTATCATTTTTATTAATGAAATACAATGAAATACAAAAATATAACAAAATAATCTACTATGGTTCATAGCAGGAATAGAATACTAGGGTCTATTTTAAGCAAAATCTATCAGTCAAATAAGAAAGAACTGCAACAAAGAATCCTAATACCTCTAGAAAAATCAGAGGTCTAAATAAAACCTAGGAACTAATTCTGCTTCCAGTTTCTCTGGCCAAGTTATTTCCTCCACTTTTAATTTAACCCCTGTGCTTCTTTATTACAGTGCATCATTTGGTTCTACACTTAAACTCAGTGACATTTTAAAATATATTGGCATTAAATGAGATAGGCCAAGTGTGGAGCAGGTATATGAGGCACCGCCAGCCAATTAAACCCCCAGTGATGAGTTTCCTCTCTTACTTCTCTTCCTCTTTTAAAATAAAAATAAGGAATTATTGGGATTTTCTCTTTTCTCTATGTAATCTTTTATTTCATTGCCAGTTGATTTAATGGCTAAAAGGAATCTATATAGTTCAGCATCATTTTTCCCCCCTCTGTGCATTACTTCAGCAAATTATCCTTGGAGCAAACACCATTAGTAGTCTCCAAGATACTCCCTTCCATAAAGTTGTGGATTCTGTTGTTGTGAATGTCGTGAAAAAACAACATTTTTCTACTTCTCTGTACTATCACGGAGGCCTTAAAAATAGGAAAACTTACTTTTGTGTATAACTGACCCTATCCCAAATGTCCATGAGACAGTAGCTCCCTAACCCCACTCCCTTTTATGGAAAGATAAGAACCAGATGTCACCTCCCTTTGTGAACAGGGGCAAGGGCGGAGGACCGCAGCCAAGAGTGTTACCTCTGAAATCACATTCTTACTATGTCTCCAAGCACACTGACATCTTTCTGCTTTCTCATTTTTGGGTTGACAACTCAAAGACGTGAGAGACTTTGTTCTTAGGGCTAAGAAATTGGGACTTTCAGTCAAATCTTCATGGTCTTCAACATGTATTTTGGCAAGTTAGCTATGGAATCCACAGTTCAGTTATGGCATTGTTATACTAGATCCTTGAGACAGAGGTACTGCCAAGATCTCCCAGATACAGTTCCCCAAAATATACACATCCTTTGAGATCAGAAACAAAGTGCACTTAAACTGTCCAATTCCTTTTCAGCCTGAATTAAAATGAAAACACACCGTATTCATCGATGTTATATTCATCCAAGTAATTCAAATCAACACTCCTTAATTGGTTAGACCAGAGTTGGCCCCATGACCCTGTAATATTAAGTTACACAGTTGGCCTTGAGCTATCTGATGTTGCACCATGAAGTGCAGAAGCAGCAGAAGAGCTCATGAGCTCTTCATGAAATGGATTAGTATTAGGATATGGTATAAAGAGTCTTGCATTTTCTAAGATAAAACTATACTCTCCGTCATCGCCTTCATTGTCATAAAAAATGTTAAAATGTTTGTTCAGCTGTTCTCAAACTTATACTTGTAACAACTATTGAGAACCCTAATAAGCATTGTTTCCATAGGTTGTATCTATCAATATATACTGTACTGGAAACTAAAATTGAGAAACTTTAAAAATATTTAATTTACTTTAAAACAACAATAGGGGTGCCTGGGTGGCTCAGTTGGTTAAACGTCTGCCTTTGGCTCAGGTTATGATCTCAGGGTCATGGGATCGAGTCTTGCATCGGGCTCCCTGCTCAGTGGGGAGCCTGCTTCTTCCTCTTCCACTCCCCCTGCTTGTGCTCTCTCTCTGTCAAATAAAAAAAAATAAAATAAAATCTAAAATAACAACAATAAATCGGTTACCAATGTAACCTAAATAACATATTTTTGTTAAAAAACCTTTATTTTCCCAAACAAAAAAATATAATGAAAAGAGCTGTGTTGGTTGACAAGTTAGCAAATCTCTTAATAGAACATGGTTGGATTCTCATATCTATTTCTGTATTCAATCTGTTGCAATATGTTGTTTTGATTGAAGCATATGAAGAAAACATGGCCCGACGGAGAGAAGTATTTGGAAAAGGGAAAACTGTT